CCCCCCCCCCTTAGTCCCCCCCTTAAATTCACCACAGTTGAATACCAGTGATGCAGAAACACCTTTGCATCCTCACACAGGACAGAATCACCTGCAGTTGCTGAACTACATTGAAGTGGCTCTAAGGAATAATAATGTGTCACTATTTACTGCTGCAAAGTGCATTAAGCTTGATGTTCCGCTCATCTGCCCCACCAGCACCCTGAGGGTGGGTTCTCCCGTTTCCCAGCCCGGCCGCTTCGGCCCGTTTCCACAGTACCTGTTCTTCAGGTGCTGCACGGAGCCCAGACAACAGAACCTGCCGTTCACCATGATGGCCATTCGGTTACAGAGGGCTTCGCATTCCTCCATGCTGCGGCAGCGCACAGACAACAGAGAACCACAATGCGATTAGAACGCGAAAGTAAGATTCACTTATAAATGACAGTGTGCAAACAGCACCCCCTACCTGTGTGAGGTGAGAATGACAGATCGGCCCTCCTTGATCACGCTGAGAATGCAGTTCCACAGGAAACGCCTGGCCTTTGGGTCCATGCCTGTTGTAGGTTCATCCTGTTAGAGCAGAGGGATACAAAAGGGTAGCAGGAGTTGGGCTGCACTTGTGTGGTGCCCATGATGACATCGACATGCACTCACCAGGAATATGACTGGGGGGGCACCGATGAGAGCAATGGCAGTAGAGAGTTTGCGCTTGTTGCCCCCACTGTATCCTCCCGCCTTCCGGTCAGAATAGAGGGTCAGCCCAAGCTTCTCTACTCCCCACTGGGCTAACTGGGATGGAGAGCAGGCTTTCAGTGGACAACTGGATCTGGTAAACATGTTCATATACAGCACCGGTCTTTTCACCAGTCATAGCTACTTTTAGAAATAAGTACTGTGAAGTAAACAATATGTATTAAAATGAAAATGAGGATAAGAAGAGTGTAGGCTGCACTGGAGTGGGTACCTTAGTCACACGGTCCTCGGGGACACCGCGAAGGCGGGCGTAGAACTCCAAGTGCTCCCGACCTGTCAGAAGGTCACTGATGGCATCAAACTGTGGGCAGTAGCCCATGAGCTGGTGAACCTGCTGCAGCTCAGTTAGCACGCTGGCCCAAAGTGAAAAGAAATAAATCACCAGCCTTGTGTATCAATAATGACAGACTAAAGCCCACTGTCACAAGTCACGTCAAGACAAGTCATGTTAAGTTAAGTGGGGCTTTACTGTCACACCAACCAGATTCAATATATTGCATATGGTGATGCGAAATAACATTCCCTGGACTGTGGTGCTAGATATATACATAAAGTGCATGGATGGAAGGGACAAGTGCGGGGGAGAAGACACGTTAACAAGTAAACAATGACGGAATATTACAGATTATATACTGTATTATATTATTATAATATATTATTATAATTACTGTCAAATATAAATGCATGTAACCTGCCATATTTAGACACAAACTTGCCCAGAGACTGAGGGCATTTTTCCACTGCACCAGGTACCGAACTTTTGGTACTTCAAGGTGTTGGTTTTCCACTGTGATAAAAACTGGTACCAGCACCGAATAACATCACAATGTGAGGGGGGGGGGGGGGTATTCTGTACTAAATTTGAATTCCCGAAAAAGTGCCCTGAATGCACTTACCTGTGGCCACAAAGGAAAGCCTCTCCGTGGGAGACACAGGTGTCCCCCGTCAGCATGCGGAATGTCGACGTCTTCCCCGCACCATTAACCCCCAGCAGCCCGAAACACTGACCGGAACAAAGTAAAGCACTTGATGGTGCCACTTTCTGGAAGCCCTTTGCTCCTAAGGCCTCACTGGTATCACAAATGCCCAGCAAAGAGTAACACCCATTTCCTCCGAATACACGCCGGCAGCCATACTGCACGCGAGGAACGTTAGCGGTTAGCGACTCCCACACATCCGAGCCAGGGCCCAGTCACTAACACACCCCCACAGCTTCTGATTTATGTACTACGGGGGGAGGATGTGGGTGCCATCTCCCTGTGCCTAGTTTAACAGCCAGTACATTTCATTAAGTCATTTCCTAGGCGCGTTAAAGACGGGGACGACTGTGGCTCACCTCCCCGGGAGGAATCCCCAGGCAAAGCCGATCCACTGCAGGCTTCCTGCCCACCCTGTACACCTGCACCCAGGAGACCACAGTCACTGTTTTTAAATCTTACAGATTAAAATCATTTCTGCGTTTACGGTAACAAAACATTTAGCCTCCTGCCATACCTTCCATGTTCTTCCTCTTACCTTACTCAGATCATTCATGACCAATAAATCGTTCCTTGCATTCCCAGACTTCACTCTCTCCCTCTCCTTCGCTACGTCCTGGTCCTCTGGACCCAAAGGAGGCAACGTGGACTCAGGCAGAGACCTAGGAACAAGGTGAATGGGAACAAGCGGCTGCAGATGCGAAGCACTTTGTTTCAGCATTTGATCAGAATTTTGTTTTTGCGGAACGTATTACCGGAGCTCAAGGTGCTTCCAGCTCATGAAGAACTTGTATTGCAGCAGTAGGGTAAAGAGGAAGAAGACCAAGCCCTCCACCGCCATGGCAAACAAGTTCTTTCCCACAAAATCCCAGGAAAGGGGATTCAGGGTTTGCTTGGCACCTGTGAACATCGAGAGGCAAAAAAATCACAGCATTTGTACTCCAGACCAAGGGGAACCGATGTTACTTATTGAGAAGTTTGGAATAGATTTGTGTTTAAGTTACACCAGGATCGCAAGAAACGATTATTTTGCAATGATCTTGCAATTCATTAGTTGGGACAAAACACAGGATTTACAGAAAAGTGCAAACACTTTATTTAAAAAACAATAAGAGGTATAGTTTTAAGTCACGGTTGAAATAAAACCTTTACACAGGTGTAGAGAATCTCTATTCAAAGTGACAAAGTGCCACAGAGAAAAATATCCACTGTCCCCACCATGTTAAGCTTGCTAACGATTGTACTTCATACCGTGGAATACAGCATTTTGACAGTATTTTTAAAAGCAACGCTATTCCAGCATTTCGAAATTCTGGCGATAAAATTCACCAAGCAGGAGCGGGGACGGCTTGCTTTGTCGTCAGTACTCTGTGTTACCGCTCAAGCCTAGTACCAGCTTTAAAACTGCTCATTAAAGTCTATCCACTTCACTACCCTGCTTGTACACTGCAATGGCAGTGTACAATGGCCTGCAGTGGCCCAATAGGTGGCACTGTAGCCTCAAACCTCCAGAGCTGTGAATTCACTTCCTACCTCTAGTTCTATGTGTGCAGTTGGTGTTTTCGCAGTGTCCAAATGGTTAGTTGAAAGATGAAATCAGGTTAATTTCTGACTGTAATCTGCATGCCATAAATGTATTCATTTGTTTTTTCTAATAAATAGGCACAAATTTCACCACTTCTTTATAAAGTTGAAGTGCATCATTTCCTGAAGAAGAATGTGGATCATTTTATAACTATAGGAACCTGTGGCAATGAACACTGTGACCCGAAACTAAAATCCCAGACACAGTCCAGCAGATGCAAGTCTGTGAAGGATCTCTCTACAATAATCACTGAATTACACAGGTAAATAGGACACAATTGCTTGGAGTTTGTTGTGGAACATTTCTAAATATGCAAAAATCTTGTGAGGTATAATTTAAAAATAGTGAAATGCAAGGTTCCACGTATTTCCCCCTTCTCCCTACAAGATTCCACGTATTTTTCCCTTCTCCCTACAAGGTTCCACGTATTTCCCTCTTCTCCCTACAAGGTTCCACGTGTTTTCCCCTTCTCCATACAAGGTTCCACATATTTTTCCCTTCTCCCTACAAGGTTCCACGTATTCCCCCCTTCTCCCTACAAGGTTCCACGTATTTCCCCCTTCTCCCTACAAGTTTACACATATTTTCCCCTTCTCCCTACAAGGTTCCACATATTTTTCCCTTCTCCCTACAAGGTTCCACGTATTTCCCCCTTCTCCCTACAAGGTTCCACATATTTTCCCCTTCTCCCTACAAGGTTCCACATATTTTCCCCTTCTCCCTACAAGGTTCCACGTATTTTCCCCTTCTACCTACTTATTTTACAGTGTGAAGTATCATTCACATGGAAAACTCCAGCGACCACTCCGGTTTAGCTTAGAGTTGTGGCCGACTTCTGCACATCTTGGATTTTAGCCCAGTTAAATTGATTTATTTTTTAGCAGATGCTGTTGTCTAAAACAATGTACAAGTCGCTTAATATTGCTTTAAGTTGAAGTGTAATTTAATCAAGGATAAAAAGTGCTGGGACCCTTATTACCACATCATGGGAATCACATATAACAGTAATATGTAGTGATTTTTTTTTACTATTTTAGCACAGCTGTACTATATAAATGATTATAATAATGTATGGAGTGATATTAGCATTTTATATTTGGATGCTATTCTTTTGATTCTTTCCACAGCATAAGTACCCTTCCTCTGTCCATATTTCCGATATTTCTGAATAGTTCATTATTTCAGCTGACACCTGGCAGCAAGCCTGTGACGCACAGGAAGAGCAGGTTTTAGTGTCACATACCCAGACGCTGGAAGGCATCAACCAAGGCTTGGTTCTTTGCCATGTCGATGAGCCCACGGCCCAGACAGAAGTGCGGGAAGATTAGAAAGACCTTCTTCAGGATCTTATTTATGTCATTCAGGTACTAAAGGGGAAAGACCATAACATGTCCAAGGTTACGTTCACAAACACATCACTGAAGTACTTCAATTTAATCGAGATTCTCATAAAGAAATGAAAGTATTTACACATGAACAACAACCAAACGTAGAATGATCATACATATTAATGAACACTGGTAGAGGAGCAGAGTAAGGTTGGACCTCAGACAAATACTAGTTTGGGATTATTCAAATGTCCCAGAAGTCAAAAAATAATCAGCAACCCAATCAACACATTGCTTTTCTTTTTGTGAACTGATAAATAGTTCATATTTTTCACCTTTTTTAAAAAATCAGCACTCATCTCTGCAGCCACAAGAGAAAACAAAAACCATGTGCTGAAAAAAAACAAATTATTATGGCCGGGAAACAATAAAAAAGTAGTGTAGTAGTAAGTAGTGTAATAGTAAGTAGTAAGTAGTGTAATAGTAAGTAGTGTAATAGTAAGTAGTAAGTAGTGTAGTAGTAAGTAGTAAGTAGTGTAGTAAGACACTAAACGCAGGATGTCCTGTGGCCTGACGCCAGGATCTGCAGCTCTGTAACGGCCAAACCTCGTTTCAATACCTGATCCGTGAAAAGCTCCAGGACAAAAGTGGCTACGCTGCCGTTGATGCCAACGAAGAGGTTGACAGATGTGAGGAGCACATAGGCAGTGCTGGGGATGCTGAAGATGAAGGAGGCAGGATACATGAGGGGCGTGATGGACCATCTGGGGTAGAAATGCAGAGGAAACGTCACTGCAGACTGATCAGAGGGGTAAGCAGTGTGTGTACGGGCAGAAACGCAGAGGAAACGTCACTGCGGACTGATCAGAGGGGTGAGCAGTGTGTGTACGGGCAGAAACGCAGAGGAAACGTCACTGCGGACTGATCAGAGGGGTGAGCAGTGTGTGTACGTGCAGAAACGCAGAGGAAACGT